TCATTGTAATACCATCAAACGTCGTCCACCAGCACCTCGGAATTAATCGCAAAACGAACAAAAGTGAGCTCATTTCTACGCGTAGGTATAAGACATAATAACAATAATCCAAGAAGAAGAAGAAAAAGGCCAGCATTACCTTGCGTATACACAGAGTCTCCCCCAAAGGAATACAAAGACCGCGAGCTAGAGAGAGAGAAAAAGGAGCAGCGGCGAGTGGCCTGGTATAGATTTTCTCCGATAAATCACTCACAGGGACGCACGCGGTGCACCGCCCCTCTCTCTCTCTTGCCCGCTAAAATCCCGAGCACGGTATCTGCCGCCAAAAGAAGTGCGCAGGATTTCTCCATCTCTCTCTCTCTCTCTGCTCTTATCGATCTAGATCCCCCGGCTCGGAGTGCGCGAGCCCTCTTATCGGCGCGAGCCATCATCGCCAAGCCCTTACGTGTATTTTAAAGCACTAATGGACGGGGGACAGTCTCTCCCTCGGACGCGAGCAAACGTCATCGCTCGATCGGCATGCGTTTTTTTCCTCCCGCGGATAGATCTTGATCCGAAAGCCCCTTGTTCGGTGTGTGTGTGTGTAGAATGCCCGACAGTGCCACTTTACGTGCCGGTCTATAATACTTACACCGCGTATACGCATAAATTAGAGCGGGGAATATAGTATATATCGTTTAGTCACACCTACGGCGGGAGCAAGCTTTGCTGGTAATTAGATGAGTGGCCGAGATCTCTCTTGAGTACTTGCTTGTCGTGCCCCCGACCTCCTCGCGTGTGGGGAATTTCTTTTTTTTTTTTCTCTTCACACTCTTGTTCGATTTGCTCATCTCTTTTTCCGATCTTTCTCGGTATCGTGTCGTTGTTTTTGTACGTTTGTACTTTTTTTTCTTTTTTTTGTATGTATCTCCATTGCGTGATCCATTGTCTCGTGTTCTTTCAATGGGAGAGAATGAAAATCGCCAAAGCGATGGAGTAACGCGGGTTAATTTAAAATAGAAAACGTCACACGCCACGAACATATTTATGGTTACTCGAAAGATCAAGTTAAGCTTTATGGAGCAATTTTGGTACCTCTAAAAGCTACTGTCGTTTACACAATACCGAAATGATTTTATTTTTGCTGCTTACATAATGCCGCAATTACGTGCTTCGAACTCAATAGACTAAAAAATCTAATAATTAAATAAAACTAATAAAAAAGTATCCATCTTCGTATGGGACGGAGAAAGAAAAGATTTTTTTTTTTTATATATCTGACTTTAAAACCTCTTCTCTCATCAAATCAGTGGCTGCGGACGACCATCATCCTTTGGCTCGTAACTCGCGTCAGAGTGAAAAAAAGCCATCAGCGAATCACCAAGCGACTCCATCACGACGAATTTCTCCATCGCGAAACGACATCGTAACGAGATTTTATTGCGTAAAATGAAGACGTAGCGCAACGCCAGCCAAGAAGGTAGGAAAAAAAAAACCAAGAGAGGCACACGCGGGAGTGCTCATCAAAAGGGTCAATTAGGCGCTCGCCATAGGAAATAATACACCCTATGCGCACGTACCTATAGGACCTATACATAGCACAGCAGGTGTCCCTCTATATACATACACGCATAAAGGCGTCAGCCATTGTCGTCGTCGGCGAACGGCGAGCGACAGAGTACGTGTCACGGCACTCCCGCTTCGTTTGGAGTTAATTGCCCGTGCCGGAGTGGTATATATATACGTGTATATACCAGCTACTGCCGAGTGAATGAAGTCGCAGCGTCGAGGACCGCACGCCCTGTAATCGGTGCCGCCGAGACCGGCGATTTCATCATCGTCCTCGTCGTCGTCAGAATAGAGGCACTTGTTTGGCTGTAGTTCCGTGCACTGCTACTTAGTGACTCTTCACGAGACTTGTTATTATCATGCCCGAGAGGCCTCTGACGTTGCACCAGTTTTTTTTTTTTTTTTTTTTTTTTTTTTTCTATTATTACAGGGTGACTTTTTAATACAAGAGACGAGTAGTCGGACATTCAGAGTTTTTAAATCGAAAACTCAGCTGTCGCAGAAAACATGTACGAGGAGGAGCAACAAGTGTTTTCAACATTTGCATTGGATTGGTGTATTTTTTTTAACTCGTACAAAAAGTTTTTTTAGAAAAAAAGGTATTCCCAATAACAAACAAATTCTCAATCGTCGATGAAACATAAGAAACTCTTTTGCTTCACATAAGTAGTAATTTACGAAACATTCGTGCAGGTGCATATTTGTATATATAAATACACACGTACAAATTTTCATAAACCACAGTGTCGTATCATAAAAGTCAAGCGTTTCAAACTTGGTCGAGTACATTATTAAAATTCTTTTCCGATGAAAGTTACAATTTATTAGCAATAAACTTGCGCCGAAAGCTAATTATCATCAACGCGCAAATACGCGCTTTTCGCGATAAATTTACCCCCCACCCTTTTCCTCGTTTTTTCGACTTATGGTTTTCAGCGGACCTTTCCCGATGACGAAACCACGTCGTTTAATATCCCTCGCCGTCCGATCCCCCGGAGTTTTCTCTCCCTCTCTCGACGGAACAGTAGTACAAATTTACGACGCTTAATTCCCCACAAGAGCCCGGATTACGCGGCGTTCTTGATTTTTCATATCCCCGCGCAAGCATATAAATATACTCGTATCAACGAAAGGAAGAGGAAAAAAAAAAGTAGGTATACGTTGCAAAAGCTAGGTCGCGATTAGCGCGGGAGCCGTGCATCCATTAGCTGTCGTCGTCCGCAGTGATTTGCTACTGGAAAACTCTCTCCTCTCACGCGATCGATCAACGTGGCATTTTCCAGCGGCGCAACGTGATTTTTTTTTTTTTTGTTCGCCACGCCACATTATACGTCCCGTTGGTTCGGCATAACACGCGACAATCGACCCACTGAGAGCGACAAAGTAATTAAAAGCCAAAGCACCGGCGACTACTGGGAACGGGTAATTGGCATACCTCTCCCTGCGTCTATAATCCGTTTTCTCCCTCCCGTGCGTCTCGGGACACTCCGAATGCGCACCGCGTGTCCAATCGATCGGCGATACGCGCGACATATCAGACGCGCGTCCACGTGAATCCATACACGTACATACACCCTAATCACGGCGCTGCGCGGATCTGTGTGAGAAAATGGCAGCGAGTGTGCTCGTATACTTTCTAAATCGAGCCGTGGATAAGCGCACCGCAGACATACAATGTTAAGGCGCGCGTCCGCCTGCGGAAAATCAACGTCCAGCGCCTCTGTGTGTATATCCTTTGTGCCCGTCCTCTCTCTCTCTCTTATCCACGAGTGCGCTCGAAAATTAACGGACTACTCCTCTCCTTCTCTCTATAGGTGCTTTCTCAATCAGCACCGGGGCAATTAATTATTGGCTCCGGGAGTCTCTAAGAGCCGCTGCATTCGGCAGGAGCTCTCTCTCTCTCTCCTCGTCTCTGTATGTGCGCGGACGTTAATTATCTTTATCTCTCCGAGAGGAAGCTTTTCTTTTTATCCGGTGGCAAGTGGCAGCTCCTTTTTTTTCTTTTTTTTTTTTTCGTCGTGTCACGTGGGGGGCTTTTACAGCGCAAGCTCTCGATCTCTGTTCTGTGTCACGATGCGCGAGGCTAGCCTTAATTGGGTCTATTTCCAGCCGAGCTCGAGGATAGAGCGCAAAGTGCACTCCTCCTCCTCCTCCTCCTCCCTTCTGATTTTGCGCTGCTCTTTGATTTACCATGTGATGAATTTTAAATCGATGCTTCGCGCGTTGCTCGATTGTACAAGGATACTTACTGGCGGCTGATTTTTATTCTCACGGAAATCATTGGGCAATCTCGTTACGATTTTCTCGGCCAAATCAAACGATCCGACTAATCGATCTCTGGTGCTTGCTTCTCTCGGGTCGCACCACCTGCCAATGAGCCATATATACGAGCTGTAGCTGTCTCGTACAAGACAAACGCGGCCGCAGTCGCTTACCGCAAACGACAAGTGGTAGCCATGCACATAGAGGAGACGGTATGAAGCAAAGAGAGAGGAGACAATACCCCTACAAGTCTTATGTATATGTACAGAGGCAGCCGAGCGAAATCAATCATAAGCCGCGCACACATACATCACCGCCATGCGCGCAATAACGGCACTGTTTTATTGCAAAACATTTTAATACGCCGCCACCTTGTCAATTACGCCGCCGCGGACTCGAGGGTTGAACGTTTGACCGCTCGCTGTCCGATGATTTATGAAAGCATTGTTCTCGTCGCGCGGTAATGCACGTATACACACGTACCCCCCGCGTGTGTGCACCAGTTAATTGTACACTCACGTGTATATATATATATATACATGGACGACAAAAGTAAATAACAGTACACTAGCGAGTATATATACTTGAATGGGCCGATATAAGGAGCGTGAAACGTTCTGTATATAAGTGGGCACTTTTTTTCCTTACTATACAGGCAATAAGAGAACGGGGTGGGAACGACGATGGGGGGCCTGGTGGTCTTGTACAACTTATTCAAGACCAACGCAATCAGCGTGTAGAACGTGTCTTTTTTCAAACTTTATAGGGCCATGAATCAAGTGTTATCTCAAAAGTATATATTTATATACCTACGTGGTTCATTTATACCATGAACCAAAATATTTAAATACACACCGCTATATGGTGTACACACAATAGTAGTAACAACGTCCAGGTAAATAAGTAGGTATCTGACGATTAGCGAAGCCAACTTCAGTTGGGATGACATAAATGCGCAGTGACTTTCTTTTTAGTCAGTTGACCCTTTTCACCGCTAGGTCTAAGTGTATTGGTTCCGTAACAACGTCGAGAAGAAGCTTTTTGATTGGCATATTGCCAAGAAAAGTTTATCCGTACGATATAAAACAAGTGAGAGTTGGACTTTCGCTGGATGATACGCGTGCCAAGACACCAGTGGTACTAGCCCATAGTTTCGCTCGACCGAACATCTGCTGACGAGTGCTCTCAAAATGTCCAATTTGGAGATCAAGTATGGTGAGTCCTCCTCCAACGTCTCCGCGAGCGTTCACATTGAGCACCATGTGGTTACCGGGGCTTTTACCCAATTTGCGTTGTACCTTTCCATATTGGTTATGTTCAGTGAAGTCTGGAGCGTCACCGCTTCGCAGATAATTAGTTTGCGAGTGCCTACTGTTTGCGTGTGCTGCTCGTGGTTTGAACCGCAAAAAAATATGTTTTTTTCCTTAAATAGGCACGAAGCTCGAATTTGACCCTGGGTGGAGGGGCCCGATGGAAGTTCCGAGACGAATGACGGACTTATTTTGGCTGATCGCTTTCGTGCTTTTCACCCTCCTTTGCATTTCTATCGCTATTTACGGTAAAACCTCCCGAGGAGTTTGCCACTCTTTCTTTGGTACCGGTCGGCATTGACCTGACCTCGTGGTGTTTTTCAGGTCTTGTCACCGGTAGTACCTCGGCGGCGGGATCAGTAGTGGACGGCGAAGGACGCATTTGCGGCTATCACCCAAAAGTCGAAAAGAAACCGTACCTCATGTACTTGAAATTGCAGGACTGTTTCAGCAAGACAAACGACGATTGCATGAAGCAAACTGCTTGCGTTGAGAAATGTCCGAAGGAGAATTTTTATTTCCCCAACGAAAAGGGGAAACCGATCGACGAAATCCGGAAAAAGTTGATTTGCAAGGCTGACGTAGACGTGGCGTCCATTAAAAACGCCGAACAAATCAGCAGTTTGCTGTCACGTAACAAATGTGCCGAGTGGTACTTGGCCAGCGAACCCATAAACCACGAATGCATCGCCAAGGAGGCTTGGGAAGGAAGCGAGCATTACACTATCGATGACATGCAATTGAAACAAGTTAACACGACTCTTCTCGGCCATTGGCACTTTTTGGAGAACGCGCTCGAAGAATACGACAAAATTTTGTAAGTCCTCATCGCGAGCTACCGAAACAATCGACAGTCCTCTGCTGTTTTTTTTTTTTTTGCACAACCTTTTTTTGTTTTCAGAACACCGGTGCTCCTGGCTATATTTTTCAGTGGAATATTGACTCTTGCATCGGTATATTTGTTGAAACTGTACGCCGTAATTTTCTTGTACTCGGTATTGTCTCTGCTCTTCCTGGCCGGGGTCGTAGCGGTTAGCATTCTCTTAAGAGCTTACGCCACGGACCAAAGCATAGAAGCTTTCCTGGCCATCATTTTTATCCTTACGATACTGGTGTTATCCACCATGATAGTTATACGTTACCGTAAGAACGTCAACATGGGCTGTCAGTTGATCAAGGAGACAAGCAAGTACGCGTCGAGACATTGCGGCGTAAGGAGGGTAAAAATGACGACAGCACAATTGTTTTTTTCTTTCGTTTTTAGAGCTGTGCTGAACCTACCGATAACGTTACTTTTTCCATTGCTTTCTTTCGCGTTGAACATCGCTATAATAACGTGCAACATAATAGTGATTGCTACCTTGATAACGATATCCTCGCCGGTTTACCGGATCGAGCATCTACCGAATTACGAAGCCGAGCAGTGCAAATGCGAGGGTTACCCCGACTCGCTGAGCGTCGATGCACTGTGCGACCCCGATGTTTTCAACAGCAAGTGCAAAACCCCGAGTGGAGACGCCTGCTTGCTCAAGCAGTGCTTTCTCCAAGAGAGATTCATTCCTGGCCACATTAAATTTTTTTTCGTAATCAACTTGTTTGGCTTTTACTGGGTAATGTTTTACGTCGATGGCTTCCAAAAGGTGGTTCTCGGAGGTACATTTGCATCTTGGTACTGGACGTTTAACAAAAAAATGGTCAAAAACTCGTTTTTGTTTGGAAGCATATTCAGGACAGTGAGGTATGACACCCGAGTTGTCACGATAAACAACAGAATTGTCAACTTGACGAAATACAATCCTGCATGTTTTTAGGTACCACATGGGATCGATAGCCATGGGTTCCCTGTGTATAACAATCGCGGAGTCAATCAGCCAGTTATTGAACTGTCAACCGCCAAAGTGGAAATTTTGCGCCAGTATCTGGAATTTCATCGAGACAGTGTTGATTTTCTTTAATGACAATGCATACTACATGTGCGCCATACACGGGAAAAGTTTTTTTAAATCGGCAAAGAGCGCCTTTCAACTGTTAACGAGGAATTTCGTGAATATCGTTATTATGAATACGGTAAGATATTTCGGATATTCAAAAATAGTTCGATCCGTTATTCCGTAAAACGACACGTATTTTGTTTATGCAGGTTGTTGCACTTATACTCCTTATGGTCGCCACTGTGATAATGATGACATCAGCGCTCAGTGTGGGCATCTACGTAGCCAATGCTTATCCTAGTCCAGACAGTTTTGGACTGGTTATGGTTGCTGTGATCATAACCGTGGTCACCTCGATGTTTTTGGTAATTTTATTAATGTCGGTGTACAAAATTGCCACCAGCACTTTTTTTTTGTGTTTATTTGAAGACTTGGAACGAAACGATGGGTCTCAAAGCAGGCCTTACTACATGAGTATTCGGTTGAGAGAGTTGTTGAACGAGCAAAGGAGGTAGTTTAGTTTTAATTTCAACGCATTACTCTCTCAACGGTTGCAGTTTTAGTTTGATTTCACATTTGTTCAAAACGTTTGACGAAAGCTAAGAATTTCCCTCGTTTTATTGTTTTTAATAATGAATTATTGAATTTTCCCGTATTTGAGATAAAACTAGGAGTCGATTATCGTTATTTTTCTGAAAGCATTCGATGCACGATTGTAACAGGGTGTGCACACTTTATGTTCCTGAGTGCATACGTGACAATGAAAATAAACGTTCATTTAAGTTTATTCATGTATTATCGAAACAATAAATGGCTCGTTTACATGACTACTTGTATCGAATAAACAAGTGACTTGTTGCGTCAATGTTATTTTGGTTGAAAATTAGCGAGATTTTCTTTAACAATTACAATGATCAGTATACAAAACATTCATGAAAAAAAAAAAACTATTTATAGCAAGAAAAATTTCTTGCAATAAGATCGACTCCAAATGAAGAAAACAAATATAAAAAAAATGTCTTTTTCACAAGTACAAATTGATTAAAATAAAAAACTGCTTACCAACAGATTACCCGTTTAATTTCATTACCGGGACAAAAAGGGTACACACACCGTACGAGCCGCTATTATACGCTACACGCCTCTTTACAATACACAAACACACAAAGCAGCTCGGCCTTTCTGTTGCAGCTGGGAATAAATCGCTGAAATCGAAGCTACGAATCTCTTTCTCTTCCCCTCCTCCACCTCTGCTCTCCTTCTGGCATGTTCAATCGAACGGAAACTGTCGAGCTCGAGCTGTCCCGCACATATACTTATAATCCACGTAGACACGCTCTCTCAGCGACCCAGACTCGCTGAAGCGGCATTAATTATATATATGTGGTACAACAATGTACACTGTCCCTTTTCTTTTCACAGGTGTGTGTCACCTGACTTGCAGAGACACACACACGTATACACTGAAGTCGTGCCAGGGCCTTAACCTAATAATGTAACATCAGGAGACAGGAGTAGTATTGTCGTAGGCGATCTCTCTCTCTCTCGGGCCTTTCTCTCATGAGGACTTCTTCTTCGGCCTGAGTCACTGCCGACCGCAGACCGCTCTTTATGCGGTCCCATTGTCAACAGCGGCATCGCTTGCGACGACAAGTGTAGAGAGCCTGTATATACGTATACATATTTTACGTCACGCCCCGCAAAGGACTCAATAGAAATATGAGGATTTCCAAGCTGAGGAGAACACGGGCAGGTTCATCTTTTCTCTCGCGCACGTTGGACTCGAGAGTAAGTATTTATCTGTCCCCCTTTGCGTATCGATCTCAAAGGAATGTCGCTCGACCATTAGGTGACTTCTTTTCTGTTTTTCCTTCTACCTTTTTTTTTTTTTTTTTTCTAACTCTCGTGTGAAAATCGGTGCTGTCGGCTGGTGATGCGAAGGTAATTTTCCGTGGGACTTTTTTTTTCCTTTTCCGTTGGCAGGTGTGGTGGGTGTTTTGTCGCGCAAAAAACACAGCTGGTTCATTAGGGTGTTTTTTTCTTTCTTCCTGAGATTCCGTGGAGGTGGAGAAAGGAAAAGATTTATTGTATCGGAATTTAATTTTAATGATCGGTTTGCGCTATCCAGATGGCCTTTTTCGAGTTTATTAATTAGGAAACAATGAGGCGTACAGGCTATTAGTTCCGCGCAATGCCATTGTTGTGCCTTTTTTACGCTTTGATTTTCCATTTAAGTTACCTGCTTAATCGTAGTGGCCCAAATGATCTTTTTCACATTATTTCGATTTGTAGAGGTTAGTCATGGAAAATTTTATGCGCTTTTATCCAAAATTATTTATCACTTGTAGCGATGTAAAAATGAATGCTTGTCGTAAGATATAGTGTGTTTAAGTGTAAAAAATTAATTAATCGTTCTTACCGAACTTTGCACCACTGGTATGCGACACAGTTGTACAGAAATTCCGATCTTGAAAGAATAACCATACCAATCATTGGATCCATGCAACTCTAATTATTAACTGGTGGCAGCTAAAAAACAGATTTTTCTAGCTTTTGTAACAAATCTGGTACAAACAATTGCAAGAATCAACCTTATTTACCTCGAAAAGGAAAAAAAAAAAAAAAAAAAAATCGAGAGGAAAATCGGCAAGCTAGCCGATCGCGCGACATCGGTTTAATTTATGCGCGATTTGTCATCCCGCAACGCAGAGGACACGAAGACGCGCAAAACCGATCTCGAGATAAAGTTCGACTAGAAGAAAAGTGCCAAGACGCAACAACAGCTCGATTTTTCTCTCTCGGACGCAGCAGCCTTGCGCGTAACTTTTGTCTCTTGAGCGCGAGCAGTCGTCGTTCGCACAAGATTACCATCGCGAAAGTCCTACTTTCCGCGGGATTGAAGCGCGCGACATTCGCTTGTGCTCACCAGTACGAGTATGCATGTAACGCGCACACGTACAGGAGCTAGCGTCGGTGAATGAATGAATGCCTTGATTGAACGTCGCGGGACACGAAATCGTCCGTCTCTGGTATGTAACGCGTAAGTATACAGAACGCACGACAGGCTCGAGGGATTCATTAATCTGCGATGGCGCCTTAATGATTGCGCTTTTTTTTCGCGAACGCGCGCACTTATCGTGCCTAATGATTAGCTTGCATTAACGTTAGTTAAATGGATGGATCGTTGCTTTTAATTTTTTTTTCTTCCCCTTGTCAGCGATTGTTTGCGATTCTCCCCCCTCCCCCTTCATTGGCCAAGCTATCTTAATTTATTCGCCGAGCACGCGTTGACGAGATTAATTTATTTCATCGGTGTGCTCCGATGGGCTTTTCTCGATGTTGAAAAGTTGGGGAAAAATTTATGCGAGAACGGCATTTCATGCAAATGTTTTCTGCAAACGCACAATGGAGACACATGCGGGTGAAAAATTGTTGTGTCTCCATTAGTAAATTCTGAACTTCATAAATCATTGGTCTACCTATGTATTATATTCTTATCAAAAGTAAACTTATAGATGCAACAAAGTAATAATTTAAAAGCCACATAAGTAATTTAACCTTGGTTAATCACTCTCCTGTTTGGGAATCTCGAAAAAACCGAAATCGGATTGTCAACTGCACACAGCTCGGTTGTCCATAAAAAGGATTTCTTTCATCCCGATTCATTCCGACTCTCTCGTACCGGCGAACCGATCACCATAATTAAATTCTCAGTAGCAAAGAGCCAGTCGTCGAAAGGTTTGCTCAATACCATACAGAGACATTACACGTACGTACACGTACATACATGCGTATAAGCTAAGTCGCGACAGTATGCAATCAATCAGGGGGTCTTTAAAGGAGTACGAACCGATGTATAATCTCGCGCGGATCTGCACAGCTGTATAAAAAGGAGCGACTTTTACACAGTCCTTTTAACCGTATACTCTCCATTTGCTCCGAACGCGGACGATGATCCGGAGAAAAAGAGAGGACCGAGCGGTACGAAAGGTCAATCTGCATGCGAACACACCCACGCTCACTGTGAGCACCTTACCCTGTACCTGCCCGATCATATATATACGTATTCATGGGTATACCTTGCATACGAGTACCTCATGTCCATGTATGCTCGCGTACCTAAATCGTGCACCAACGTATAAGAATAGGTGAATCGGTTCGTCGAGCGCGGGAGGTTTGTTGTTCTTGCGACAGAGGAATGATTTTTTGCACGATTCGCTTCTTTTTTTCTTCTTTTATCGCGATGCGTTTATTGTGCGCCGTTTCGAGGCGTGCCGACTATGCCGGCTGATAATTGCGCGGGAATATCGTGGCTGTATTTTTGTTTTTTCCACAAATGGGGGCGATATTGCGGGAACGGGTTGAGAAAAAAACATATACCACCGGCTGGATTTGGCCAGTCTTACGTGATTTTGGATCGGAGTCGTGGCTCTTGAAGTTAATTTTAAGAAATAGATGAAACGTGGATAGTTGCGGGGAAAATATGCACTCTGTGGGACGAAAAGGATATATATATATTATCGATCTCAAAGGAATGTCNCACCACCACGCACCGTGTAACCAGCGGAGGAAAGGGGATGATATGGTTCGAGGGGAGAAGAGACCTCGCGTGCACTGCATTCATATTGTTTTCCACGACTGTATAATTACATATATATATATATATCTGTGTTCGCGAGTCGAGAGTGTACACAGGGTGCGGTTTCGTATATGTAATGTCGCGGAAATTCTTATTACTCCTCACTGTATCTCTGAGTCGTGAATTTTTAGATCTTTTGTTACGTGCATTAGGACCCGCGACAGAATATTACGGAATTTTATTGCAGGACCAGCATGGGTTGCAAGCAGGTATCTCTCTTTGTCCGTCTGTTTTTCTCTCAACTCGACTGATTTATGAAATTTTGTTTATTTTCACCCAAGAGGCAAAAAAGCCGATACACGTAGACACAAAAAGCTAGAGAACGATCGACCTTCTCGCGCAGTTCTCGGTCGCGTCGCCGTGTCGGACACTTTCTCAAGCGATCGCTGGTATTGGCGACCGCCGATCGATACGTAAGTGCGCTCCGTAGCCTTTCGGTCTCTCCTTCGCGTGTACAGTCTGTGGGCCCTTTACGTACAGACAAACACACATACAAACCCGGACAAATACGGATTGAGCTGTTCAATATATATATATATATTTTTTTTTCTAAGCTTTCCTTCATCAAGGAACCTCATCGTTTAAAGCGTAGACAATATGTACTCCCAGAAACAATAGATGTACGATAATGTACCAAAAAAACTTCATAATATATTCATCGGGGGGTAGCAGAAATGATATCTTGATCATCAAAACCTGTTTAACTGATTCTCTTTGTCGATCGAGACGATCATTTTTAATAATTTCTCCATTGATTTTCTATCAAACTATTTTGCATTAGTATTGAAAGCAAAACCTTTCTCTGCAAAGGGTATACATACACACTAGAGCAACGATACCATCAAAGCTACAATGAAACACGTATCAATATCAATA